ATTTCATTTTTGACAAAAAACGTGTGATTTTGGTTCTAGTCTAGGGTAAATAAACTTTTTTTTTTTAATAATGAGATTTCAGGAGAATCGCGTTTTACCTTAGGGCCTATATAATAACGTGTTAACGTTCTCAATATATTCGGTGCACCCAGTTTGAATAAAAGTTTTATCAATATTTTGACGTTTTGATATATAGCACGACCCTTTTGTATCACCTTAAGACCTTCATAATCACATGCTGAAGTTTTCAACGATTCGGTGCATCCAGTTTGGAGAAAAGTTGTACAAATGTAGGAGGTATTTAAAATACATGTGTTTACAATTGACAATTTTTCTATATTTCGTATATCTCGCAGCCTGGTATGATGGCTTATTATAAGACAATTATATGTGTATGTCTCAAAACTAGAGTATTTCGAATAAGAGCCAACTGATCGATTCTGTGGTCCAAGACTGAGTGTCCTTTCTGTCCACTGTTCCTAGGGACAGTATTGGTTTAGCCGTATCAGTTGTTTAGGCAATTATCACGTCTTCTAAACAATGCTCACGTTTTCTAAATAATGCTCACGTCTTCTAAACAATGCTCACGTCTTTTCCCCTGGATCCCCTAGAATAGGGCCGCCCATGGACTTTCGATAATTTTGCCTTTGTCCCTTTGTGAATATTTCCTTCATAAATACATTGACAGAATGATCTTTTCATATCACCTTAAATTCGCCATGAATTTTCGAAAATTCCTCTGAAATTTTATTCCGGTTGCGCGTTTCTTGTGTATCTTGTGTTGGGCCGAGACAAAGGATCCTCGTTTGTCTGGGAAATTTGAAGAATGCAGAACCAGGGACGTTCCTTTCCGAAGTTTGAGAAGTTTACGAGCTGTCAAGTCGTCCGAGGCACCCCTCGATTCTAGGGATACGGTTATTGGACGTGGAGCCGCCATTGGATGTTCTTTGTAAGTGAAATGTTCTTCTCCTCGGCGTCAAGGCCGACGAGGTTCCATTCCTCTCACTTTCATGTTCCATGTCCTGCCGGGCCTCTCGAATCTGCAACGTCTGCGCGTCTTCTCGCATTCCCCTGCGACGACGTGTCTTTCTCTAGGATCATCTTTTCGGGTCAATCGTCGCATCGAATTAGGATTTTGTCCTTGTTTACGCTTAATTTTTACATATTTTCGTAAGTTGAAATAAAATCAGGGAATCGGGTTTATCTAGGATCATCTTTTCGAGTCATCCGCCGTGTCGAGTTTAGATTTTATCGTTGCTTGCTCATAATTTTTAGATATTTTCGTAAGTTGAAATATAATCAGGGAATCGGGTTCATCTAGGATCATTTTTTTGAGTCATTCGTTGCATCGAATTAGAATTTTGTCCTTGGTATGCTTAATTTTTAGATATTTGCATAAGTTGAAACAAAATTAGGGAATCGGGTTTATCTAGGATCATCTTTTCGGGTCAATCGTCGCATCGAATTAGGATTTTGTCCTTGGTATACTTAATTTTTAGATATTATCGTGAGTTTAAATAAAATCAGGGAATCAGGTTTATCTAGGATCATCTTTTCGGCTCAATTGTCGCATCGAATTAGGATTTTGTCCTTGTTTACGTTTAATTTTTAAATATTTTCGTAAGTTGAAATAAAATCAGGGAATCGGGTCTCTCCAAGATCATTTTTTTCGAGTTGTCGTCAAATTGGAACCTCACACGTGTATGGTACATATTTTCGTAGACCGGAATTAGAAAGGAAAATTTCACAAGTTCGAATCGAACATCTCTAAACTTATCTTTTTGGGCCACTCGTGTTAACAAATCGAGACCTTGTACACGTGCATCTCTATTTTTAATACATTTCCGTGGGTTAGAATTAGAAAGGAAAATTCCCCGAGGGTTCCTCTGAAATTATATTCTCGAGTCATTCGAGTTATCTCATTGGAATTATTCATTCTCACACAAGAATATTTTTAAATACTTTCGAATATTGGATTCCGACGAAAAAATGCCGAAAGCTCGAATCGTCCACATAAGAAGGTTTAATGGATATTACAGGGAATTTATATTTACATGTTCCGGATTTATGTAGAATTTAAACTCACGTTGCATTAATTAGATACAAAATTAACACCAGCGTAATTTCTACGTATATAAAACATTTTGTAGATACGAACAGTTTACTGTCAATAACAGGGATTAAGGAATTCTTAAAATTTCAATACATTTGGCGGCACTTACAAAACGAACAATTTTTTCCCTTTTGTTAATTGAAAATCCTACTTGCCAGTAATATATTGCATTTTCCAGTGATAAGTTAAGACATTAATGGTAAGTCAATTAGTTACGGTGTCTGAAGTAGCTCTCGAGGAACTTGAAGAGGAGATAGGTAAGCTTCAGCGGTGGCAAAACATTTCTACGTTGAAAATGTCAACCGCTGAATTGTAATGTATTGCACTAAGTGACATTCTACATTCGTTCTCTGGGGCTTTTTAACCAGCGTAGTACATATTTAAGCTGCCAGTTTAAACATTGATCGTTAAGGTGATGTGAAATCCCCTTCAAATCAGTAGATTCGTATACAACACTTTTTTTTAAGGGTATTAGACCAAACTGTCCGAAACTGACAGATCACTCCTGATCATCCAAGAATTGGCCTGACACATTCAAAATTTGGATTTTTTGCAAAATTTTTTTAACTTAGCCCCAGACCAGAACCAAAATGGCGTCGAGCTCTCATATTTCGATCAATATACAATTATCGAAGGCTCTGATATGAGAAACGAAAGGGTCGGGACAATTTTACGACAATTTAAAACACTCTGGTAATCGATAAACTCGCATTTGAACGGGATAAAGGCAAAAAAGTGTTGTATGCGCTTCTATGCTAAAATGATGGTAATACGAGGTCTCGGAGTGAAAATTTAATTGCCCTCGAAATCACAGATGTCGCAGGGTGTCCCTCTGCAGTCAATTAGGGTCCCAGAAAGCATGAATTCAGAGGATTTCTGGAGTTGACTTTGATTTCTTGATATTTATTGTACGAAAACGACAGGTGAAGTATGCCATTTGGTACAATATCGAATATAATTCGACACAGCTGTCAATATGAAAACGAACGTCGTCAATGTAGGCATTTAGAAAAATCGTCTTTATGGACGTCGATCAAGTTCCTCGACGTGTTTCACTTCACCTTAACCACGTAATATGTTAGAGGTTCGCATCGATGCATTCCCCTCACGAGTAAAACCAATTTCACCATTGTCTCTAGACTTTCCGACACTTTCTTTAAACCTCTCCGCAAAGGAAGATTATTCCGAGACGTAGATAGAATAAAGTATTTTAAGAAAAAATCTGTACACTGTATCCATATTGAATGAAGTGGCATTTTCTTTTTTTTAAGCCGCATGACATGCCTTACATGTTATCATGACTCAAATGTACTTGGCAATGGGTGCAGAGTTAGTATTTTTATGCATGGCTTATATATTTGCATACTTACACAGGCTATATGTTTATTTATAGGACGTCGGGCTGGAGATAGGAGGAATTAAACGGAGTGCTAAGGAGAAGAGAGATAATACAATTTGTATCCACCAGTAGTTTATATGGTAATGCAGTTCCGCCTTGCATTACTCGCTTCTCTGCATAGATTATGCACTTATCTTTGATCTTAACCTCGTTACTTTCTAGAAAATTTCTTATCTCGGCCTCCTTCCCTCTCGACCTGTATATTTTCCTGAAAACACCTCAATGATTGCAATGTTTCTTTAATACCCCTGGTTTCTTTCTATTTTGCCCTGCACTTGCATGTATAATATCGAACATTTATTATAATTCGGAAATCATTTTTCATGGACATTCGCATATTGCAATGATAAATTTTAGTACGTACCAGTTCTTTGTGTACATCTTTTTTTTTTTTTATTACAGTTAATGATCTTGGAATTGTTGAATGAAAGCGTTTATATCTACGGTGAGTGACAGATTGGTTCGAGGGTATCAGTTTTCGACTCTTTATTCTCATTAATTTACATTTATACAATATTTTTAGGACAACGAAGGGACGACTATGATTTCCGAAATACACGATTTATGGCGAGCCTTTGCGAAGGGAAAATCGTATATTGGGAACCATAGGCTTTCTCTAAAAACACCCGTGAAAATTTCTTCGGTTTGTCGTTCGCACTCCTCACTTATTTCTTAATTTTTCTTTACCGTCGTTTCTTGAAATTCACTATCGGCAGTGTGGAGCTATTCTTTCATAAGCTAACGATCCACTTATTTAACAGAAAAAGGAGAAGGATGCAATTAAATTTGTAATCATCAAATGCTATATATATCTACATCGGTCCTCATTAACAATGCATTACTTAAGGAAAACGAAAATGTCAGAAATATATAGACTCTACTGTTACAGAAAACATACCACACGCGCAACTAATATTGCCAATATTAACGCATAAAATGTTTTAAATGTATTTTTCATATCTCATATCTTTGAAATGTATTTTTCTTTTCTTTACCACCGTTAGCTTAACTCTCACTTCTTTCTTTACGCGAATGACTAAATCTGTAATTGCCTTGAGAATCATGACACAATGTAACTTGACATTTTGCAATTAGACGGTCAAAAGATTTCTAATTTACATAAAATGGAATGTATTACGAGACAATTATTTATACTGTGTCCTATTTTGTAAAAAATACTACATTTGGGCTAAATCGTGTCAGCCAATTACTCTTCTGTTAACATATTATATCGCACATTTCGATCGATCGCACTTCTTTTAGATACAAATCAACAATTTAAGACTTATCCAATGAATATAAATTTTACAATTTAACGCATGTTTACTTATCCAATTCGCGTAAGAATTGAATATACTATCTTAAACACTATCTGCAGGAAAAGAGAATCAAGTGTCTCGAAAATACCGTCCCATACTGACAAGAAAATTTCGAAATTCAATTTCAAATGTGAAATATCGGAGAACGTAACGTTAAAAAATTGTACTTTGAAGTGCGACGGTTAATTAGAAATTAAAGTACCACGTGCCAACAAGTGAATTTTGAAACGCAACTGCAAATCGAAAGTATAACGAAGTCTCGCGTGCAATGCGCGTATAAACTTAACGTGCCTTGCAAAGTTGCTACCTCATCTGTTTACGATGAAAAAAAAAAGGAAAAAAAATAGAAACAATACCATTCTCTATGATTACGGACGAGGAGTCAAGTGTGGGAAATCTCGCGAGTGGAACATCCGAGATTTTCGAAATTTTGATTTACAATCTCAACGCGAGTCCCTACGACGAAGTCGTGCATTAACAGCGATTATATATGCTGTAATTTCACGTTTAACCCCTACGATATGACTTCGGCTTAACTTGGATCTCTTCCTGTTGGGTTTCTTCGACTTCTTCTTGGACTGGTTTCGAACCACGCGATGCTCCAAATCTTCCACGACTCGTCGGCCTCGACGAAGAATCTCCGTGGGCGGTATTTTTACTGCGACCATTCAATGTTGTTCTGAAAGAAAATGACGATTTATCGATACCCGTAGGCCTGGTGAATTAATCCCTTCAACACGGAGCCATTTCGACATATGGGCGAGATTCGTCTGACCGTGCAGGCAATATTGGACCCAACGTCGGACGCCTTTGGGCGCTCTTAGTACCCAAATAGGTTAATAGAAGTAATAAACGATGCTCATCGATATTTAAAAATCAGAGAATTAATTATGAAAGACCCTCAACTCCTTTAACCGACTCTTACACGTCTTCGTTTGTAATTACTATTCTGAAGGTTTATATTCATTTTATCATTGTTGGCGGGTAATTCACTAGCATGTCGACAGTATTATTGAAAATAGTTTGATTTTATAGCTAGTCGCGAGGCTATTGGCTTGTGTCCAGATTAGTCTTGGTGGTCAAAGCTTATCTAGGCGGAATAAGTGTGTTAAAGATTACTTATTTAATGTTAATTCTAGCTACGTGCTAATTTGTTATTTAGTTATCTTTTAGATATACTTTGGCTTCGAGGTTGTAGATTCTGCAGGACTGTGAGAGGAATCGCGGGATTGGCTGGATCCCACTTGGGCTCTTCTTCTCTTCAGGGCTGCCAAGAGATCATCGTTTGACCTAAACATTTTAAATTCCAGAGAGAAAATGTTTCAGCGCATACAATTGTATGCACGTATAAAAGTTGTTATTTAATTTCGTTCTTCAAATTTCAGAGAGGTCAATTTGTTTTTTTCTTTTTAATGTTTCACCTGAAGGGTCTGACGCCGCCCCTGATCTTCTTTGCAGCTTCGGTCGTGGTCGTAACAATTTCTTCCTGTTCCTGGCCATCTTCAATTTGTTCTTCACTTTCTTCTTCGTCGTCGATCGGCTCCTCGGTGGGTTTTGCGGTCGTCGACGAAGCCTGTAATTGTTTTTTTTTTTTTTTCGAAAGTTAGTCGTCGATAGTAGTACCTCACCTCGGAGAATGGTTTGAAATGAAATAAAAACAAATGTTTTCGGAACAATAAATCAGGAAAGACTCCTTACTACTGGTTTTCGTCCAACAGGAGATCTTCCTCTAGGAGATAGCAGTCCTCCCAATCGACCTGGTGGCCTCGCAGGTGCAGGTGTAACAGGTGCAGGAGCAGGCTCGTCGTCGTAGTCGTATTCTTCCTCGGCAGATCTGCAGACAGCTATTAGACACAACGCTAATACTCTGCAAAAAGAAATTTATGTCAATTAATGAACAGAAGCATTACATTCCTCTCGAAGTTATACGCATATCTGGGGAGATATTATCAAAAATTTTATTCGTCATTTTCTATAAAAAGAGATTGCCATTGCTACTTATAACATCTAAACTCATGGAACATTTCCGAGACCCTGATTAATTAGAGTGGAACCGTCGAGAAAATCAAGTAATCACTAATTTCGTATTCTAAGTATGTTACAAATGTTAGATACAATATAAGAATGGAAGTGAATGCATTGAAATGCAATTAAAAAAAAATAATTGTGGATAATAAGTGAAGCTATTTCTTGCATAGTGCAGTAATTGAACAGGAATAACTGGAAAGCCTAAGATTACGAATTTAAATCCGCAGTTTAAACAATTAGTTTGTTTTACTCCCGAATCTAGTGTACACTTTTTATAAATCGAGGCGACAACGTTCATCGTATGTTCTAATCTGCCGCCACTTTCTAGCGGAAGTGCGGCCACATTTCATAAAAGTATCATTACTTTTACTGCACGGACCGCACAGGAGATACCCGAGGCATACCATATATGTACCATATGGATACCATGATTAGAACCTGCTTGAGTTTGGTAGCCCGTGGAAAGTATAATTTATGCTCTTCTACCTTATTAATAATCAGGCCAATGAATCGAAACATTAACATCCATGCCGTTAACAATTTCAACTTATTTCGTCCACGCAACTATACGTATATACTAACAAATCCCTTTTAATTCTACTCTTGAAATATCAGAATTTTCCAGGAAGTTACTTATAAAACCCCAATTATCTCTACATAACGTTAATAACTTCCTTAATACATCCCCCCACCTCTCGGGACATTTCCCCCAAAATTGACAGCAGTACTCCCCATGTTTTATAAAATAACAGATTTACAATACTTCCCTAGGAATTTCTTTGAAACTTCCACAATTACGTACTATTTGCCCAAGAAAAACAGCCACACTAGAAAATCAGAGTTGTACACATTTAATTTTTATATATACATATTGTCTGGCGTAATGAAAAGAGACCAGGACCATATCTCGGTAGTTACAAGTATTTTTAAAACCACAATTGAATCACTATCTCTCCACATTATCCTAAACAATACAAGTTACTTTCTGATTTGCACGATTTTTGTATTTAGGTGTTGCGATAGTTTAGATAAGTAGTGTATCTCAATTCAAGTCAATATCCGTATATGTATACATCTATATATCCATATCCACGTTCATTGACAGATCCAGCATATTGAAAGGAGACCATATCTCGGTACTTACGAGTATTATTAACATCACAATTGAATAATCTCTCTACTTTATCCTAAACGATACAAGTTAGTCTCTGATTTGCCCAATTCTTGTTTCTAAGTATTGCGATAGTTTTGATAAGCAGTGTATATCAATTCAAGTCATCGATATCTGCGCATATGTATACATCTATATATTCATATCCATGTTTATTGACAGTCTATCCATATCCTGTCAATGCCGCGACACAACTCCAACATCCCTGTCTGAAAATCGATCGCAGCTTCGTCCCGCGGGATAAAATCGGCCTAAAAAATCCACCAAATGGCAGGAAATTCCGATCGAAGCTGCATCGACGAAATCTGGGTAGCTTGCACATGCAATATCGGCACACCAGGTGGATTTTGACCTATGACATTCACGTACGAAACTCACTTTCTCTGCTCGGCACGTGGTGGCAACGTTGCGGGTCCGGCCCGTACGTCCTGCACGTCGCTCGTATGTCGGATCCGTAGCTGCGTGCCACCTCGAAAATGTCAAAAGAGACCGAGATTCTCGATAGAACCCCTCCTCCAGGGGGGAAACGTGGTCGGAATCGATGCCGGATCCCGGAAAGTCTACATTTGCATATCTAGCCTCTACGTGAGATCTAAGCGCGTCTAGTCTGATAACGATGATATTCTCCCGTGGAGATCATATGTACGTGCTTTGTACCTTGATTAATTTGGTTCAAGGACCTCCCTTTATCTCTGCTAGTATACGTACTTGAAGGTGCGTGTACTTGTAGGCGAATCATTTTATTCTCATATTTTACAATATAAATTCCGTGGAGATCACATGTACGTACTTTGTACCTTGATTAATTTGGTTCAAGGACCTCTCTTTATCTCTGCTTTAGTATACGTACTTGAAGGTGCGGGTGCTTGTAGACGAATCTTTTTATTCTCATATTTTACAATATAAATTCCGTGGAGATCATATGTACGTACTTTGTACCTTGATTAATTTGGTTCAAGGACCTCCCTTTATCTCTGCTTTTGTATATGTACTTGAAGGTGTGTGTGCTTGTCGACGAATCTTTTTATTCTGGTATTTTACAATATAAATCCCGTGGAGATCATATGTACGTGCTTTGTACCTTGATTAATTTGGTTCAAGGACCTCTCTTTATCTCTGCTTTAGTATACGCACTTGAAGGTGCGGGTGCTTGTAGACGAATCATTTTATTCTCATATTTTACAATATAAATTCCGTGGAGATCACATGTACGTACTTTGTACCTTGATTAATTTGGTTCAAAGACCTCTCTTTATCTCTGCTTTAGTATACGCACTTGAAGGTTCGTGTGCTTGTAGACGAATTTTCTATTCTGATATTTTACAATATAAACGATTTTTTTAAGTAAACGCGGTAAATTGGCGTGCTATAAAAGGGGTAAGTTCGGAAAGTGAAGGGCATTTTTTACAATGAACTATTATTTGCGTTGCATGTTTGCGTTTTTGTAATAACAATTTTTGTATACGTTTTCGTTAGTGTTAATTTTAGTTTGTTGTTTAGCTTGTTGTAAGTTGATGAATTACGCGCATAATTAACCGAGTTAACTAATCATGAATTAAATTAACGGGCAACTAAGGAAAATTTAAACATTGTTACATCACTGAACCTATACTTAGTTATTATGTACTATGTTTCTGACTTTTTACGATATGTTAATATGGTTCGAGTTACCTTGGATGGCAGTATCGAACTCGAGGTTAATTTTCATCATGTAGGTAATGTATACCTAATTAATGATATATGGATCTTAATTTTCATTTTGGTGATAATAAAACACTTTTCACCTCAACACAAGTGTGTAGCATGGCCAATGAAACAATTATAAAATTGGATAACACTGAAGCGATATTTACTGGTCTAATCTGAATGATTCAATTAACACTTCCTAAACGATAAATATTCAGAAAATATTTATTGACAACAATAGTACATGTTTACCTAAAACAGTTAATACAAGGCCTGATTTCGTCTAGGCAGTATTAATATTTGGTGTCTTACTTTAATTTAAATTCCTTGCATATAGAAGTTTTCTCAAAGAGACCGTAATCTATTCGTTAATTAATTTGGTATTTGTTGCTAATAAGTTAATAATATTCACATAGGGATACATATGTGCAGCAATAAACTATTTTAAACATTTCTGCAATCATTAGATTTTCCGGAGCTTTTACAGCATACCGGAAGGCGAAGGCGATCGATATGCATTATCAACTGCGAAGAAGGTAATAAAATATTATTTAATCTTGCTAAAGATGTAAAGCACCGGAAAATTTACATTCACCGACGTGGAAACGTGCAAGGAAAATCTAAGAACCTACTTTCAATGACTGCATGATTTTCATTAAGAGGATTGTAAATACGTGCTCTGTACGTCAATTAATCTGGTTCAAAGACCTCTATTGTTCTCGGTAACATTGACACATGTTCAGAGGTGCATATATGTATGTAGATAGATTTTATCTAATATTTCTGGAAGTGAAAAATATTTCCTAGTGCCCTTTTAAGAGTTGGTATGCAAAGATCATTAACGGACCCGGAAAATCAATATTCATTACCTCTCAATAATTTTATTATTATATTAAACACGTTACATTTCATTTTAATTTCATTTAAATCTGACAAGCAAGAATATTTGGCACGTGCTCGAAAGCATAATGGGCATATATATAAAACATAATAAAAATTATTTCATTCAGGAACGAGTCACGTGAATGTAATCGCGTGATTCTTGGGAATGTCGTGTATTACTTAATTATTCAAATATCCAGAAATCCCAAGATTGCCGAAACAAAAAGTTTCCAAAACAGCTTATTGAGCACGTGGTGTGTTATTTACGTAATTGTCACGTGGATAGCTCGATTAATACTTATGTAAAACTGCCGAATCTAAAACTCGGACCGTGAATACTGGTTACAGATAAAAAAAAAAAAAAGATGTAAATCCGATTCATTAGTATGAACCAATATTCGCCAGTGAAAGTGGGAATCTGCCTTAAGGATTATTTCTTGTGACAGGCGTAGAAATAGAAAACCGTTCTTGCAACAATGGCGACTTTTACGTAACTTTTCGATCATTACTCGCGTTCACCAATCTCGCCTGCCTCTTTCGGAATTGTTATATTTCACGACAATTATATCCACGCTGCTTGCAAATAAGTATTCGTACTAACTTTTAGTACCATAGACACGTTATGTTATCATATGGGCATTTTTACCGCTGACTTTATAAATAATAAACTTCACTGTATCGATAGTCACTATTCAAAAGCAGAAGGGTACAATCACAGATCCTTCATGTACGGTCCAATTATTCACACCTTTCATTTTCAATTCATTCTAAAATGCACTTAAGGTGAAGTCAAACACGTCGAGGAACTCGATCGACGTCGATAAAGAAGATTTTTCTAAATGCCTACGTTGCCGAAGTTCGTTTTTATATTGACAGCTGTGTCGAATTACATTGAATATTGGACCAAATGGCATACTCCACCTGTCGTTTTCGTACAATAAATATCAAGAAATCGAAGTAAAATGCCAGAAATCCTCTGAATTCATATTTTGTGGGGCCCTAATTGACTGCAGAGGGACACCCTGCGCCATCTGTGATTTCCAGGTCAATTCAATTTTACTCCGAGACCTCGTGTTCCCATCGTTTTAGCATAGAAGCGC